ATTATTTAAATTTATATACCGCCCTATCTCCCTTACGGGACTCAGGGCGGTGAACAGGCAATAATAAAAATCACAGTAAATATTACATAAAAGCCTGCTCTAAAATATAAAACCCCTAACAAAACCCAATCAAAACTACGCCAGGCCGGCCGCATGGAACAGATGAGTTTTCAGGGCTCGGCGGAAGAGGCGCAGGTCCACAATTGTACGTAGGTCGGGGGGGCAGGTCATTCCAGAGGGCAGGAGCTGCCACAGAGAAGGCTCTCCCCCTGGGGGTCGCCAGCCGGCATTGGCTGGCCGACGGTACCCTAAGGAGGCCCTCTCTGTGGGAGTGGACTGGGATCAAGTCTGACAGTGACTTCTCCTCCCTAGTCACCACAAATTCTAACCCCATCTAGAGAGATTGGGCAAGGTTCTCAAGAAGAACCAATGGGCAGAAGTTCCAAGGCCAAGCTTTGGCCCAGAAGCGTATTTATCGCCCTCAGATGTTGTGGGAGTTTCCTCACTGGAAGCTTTCAAGAAGAGACTGGACTGCCATCTGTCAGAAATGGTGCAGGGTCCCCTGCTTGGACAGGGAGTTGGACTAGATGACCTACAAGGTCCCCTCCAACTCTGTCAGTCTGTTATTGTCTCCCTATCAAATCCTGAGATAGGCAGATGTCCAGGTAGTCCACAACTTACTACCACAATTGTTATTCTAATTCTATTCTTTTCCTCTTTCCTATTACCTTACCCTCTTAGGACCATAACTTTGCTGCTTTGTATCTTATGATGTATATTGTTTTGTTTAATATCCTAGTATGATTTATGTAGATTGCTTATTTAGCAGCCTACGACTATCGCTAAGTGTTGTCTCTTATAATTTCCGATGAACGTATCTTAGGATAATTATGATCGTGATTTATCGCTTGTTGCTTGCATGTACACTGAGAGCTTATGCACCGGGGACAAATTCCTTTTGTGTCCAATCACAGCTTGGCCAACAAAGAGTTCTACTCTGTCCCAAGACATACTAGGAAGGTCGGCGTAGTCCATCAGGAACTCCAGCCGGTAAATGGCTTCTCGGATTTCACGGCGCAGCTTGAAGACGGTGACTTCGCTGGATTTCTTCAGGTAGGCTGTCAGCTCCACCAGCTGCTCGGTGGTCAAAGGCACTTCGCTGACTTTGTCGGCGATGATATTGTACTGGTTGCAAATGCTTGAAACAAAGGAAAAAGGCAGAGGTTACAAATGGCAAGTCGGCCTCAACTGACGAGCAAAAAGTGAGCCCAAATTTCCCATGGCCAAGCAAGACAGCGGTTAAGCGGGTTTCACCCCATTTTAGGACCTTCCCTGCCACGTGCGCTAACTGAATCCTAGCAGATGCTAAGTGGGCAACAGGGTTTTTGAGTGAATCTGGCTTCCCCCATTGACTTTCCTTGTCAGAAGGGACACAAAAAAGGAATCACATGGCCTCAGGAACACTGCAACTGTCATAAATACGAGTCGGTTGCCACGCGTCAGTATTTTGGTCACATGACCGCAGGGACGCTGCAACGGTCGCCAACCTGAAAAACCTAAGTCATTTTTTTCACTCCCATTGTAACTTTGGTCCCTAAATGAATGGCTGTAAATCGAGGGTTACCTGTGTTCTAATCCCATCTGCACAGCTTATTTGCTATTTATTACTTTGTGACGATACGCAAGGTGGAACCTGCCTGCGTACACTTCCACACAGGTCCTTCCAAGGCGATCCCTCCTGCCGGAAATTCTCCATCCTCTCAGGTGAAGAACTGATCTTAGCCATACCTCTTGTTGAGGTTCCTGTTTTCCTCTACTTCAAACTCAATCAATCTGTCCTTCAGCCGCTGGGTCCGAGTGCAAAGTTCTTCATTCAGTTTCAAAGCGTCCAGGCAGAAGAGAGCCAACGGGACGGTGACGTGCAAGGAACCAATTTCTTTCTTCAGTTTGGTCAAGCCATCGATTTTCTGCCAGGCGACAGGGAGGGTTACAGCAGGGGGAAAAAGAAAAAGTTAAGGACTTCCGTTAATTGACTTGACAACTCAGAACAAATTCCATTTTCCTCCAGAACTGTTTTTTACACTTACAACTGGCCTGGCTAGAAGACCTCCAAGGTCCCTTCCAGCTCTATTCTATTCTATTCTATTCTATTCTATTCTATTCTATTCTATTCTACTCTACTCTACTCTACTCTACTCTACTCTACTCTACTCTACTCTACATTCCATTATTCTATTCTATTCTATTCTATTCTATTCTATTCTATTCTATTCTATTCTATACTATTCTATTCTATTCTACATTCCATTATTCTATTCTATTCTATTCCTATCCTTTATTCTATTCTATTCTATTCTATTCTATTCTATTCTATTCTATTCTATTCTATTCTATTCTATTCTACATTCCATTATTCTATTCTATTCTATTCTATTCTATTCTATTCTATTCTATTCTATTCTATTCTATTCTATTCTATTCTATTCTATTCTACATTCCATTATTCTATTCTATTCTATTCTATTCTATTCTATTCTATTCTATTCTATTCTATTCTATTCTATTCTATTCTATTCCATTCCCAGTGGGAGAAGCCAGATTCAACATAACAACCAGGTAACTTATCAATTGCAGCGATCCACTTAACAACTGTGGCAAGAAAGGTTGTAAAAATGGGGAAAACTCACTTAACAACAGAAATTGGGGGCTCCGTTGGGGTCGTAAGTGCAGGACTCCCTGTACATGCTTTTTTCTACACGTGCATGAGCATGAAAATGCACTTCTCGCCCAACAAAAAGCCATACCTCTACAAAGTCTTCCAGGTCATGCCTTTTGCTTAAAAATTCAGTCACCTCCTTGTCGGCATTGTTATTCAAGAGATCGTTGTATTTCCTGTACACGTTCAAGTATCTTCAATGCAGAAAGATCGTGTGGAAAAGAAATTATTTAAAGTGATTTAAAAGAGAAATCACAGAATGGAATGAAATGGTGGCCACCATCCTCCCCCCTCCCTCCCTCTCCCCCCCCCGCAGGAATCTCTGCCAGATGGAAAACATCAGGAAAAATTCAAAAAGAAACAGCAGAGGAAAAATTACTGGAATTAAATACGGGGAAATTGCCTCTCTCCTGCGTTCTTTGATTTCTACAAACTTACTTCTGTGGACCGATTAGGTTGAGATGAAATATCTCTGCCGTTTTTTGTACATAGCTCGCCACCAACGTTTCATCCTTGTTGACGGTGCGAAGAATGAGGTCCTCTCCTTTTAACTCTGGGAAAAGTTTCACTTGAACCTAAAATAAAACAGACAGGGACCCCGGTCTATGGTGACTTCTTCAAGAGTTCAAGCATGGAATAACCCAAGACGTGAACCCAGCCTTGTTACTCCTTTGGAAGCATCACTGCTTCAGATAGGAAGGCGGTGCAGAGAGTGGTGAGGACAGCAGAAAAGATAATTGGCAGTTCCCTCCCTCCCATCCAGGACATAGCACAGAAGCGTTGTTTGAGCAGGGTCCACAAGACTATCTGGGACACCACACATCCTCGTCACGACCTCTTTTCCTTGTTACCTTCTGGGAGGAGGGGGCTTCGTGGTATCCGCAGCAGAACATCCAGATTCAGCCATAGTTTCATTTCATACAGCATTAACCTTGTGAACTCTCAAGCTTCCTCCTTCCATTATATATTCAAGATGGACAGTATTTAATATTCATTTGCTATGTATATGTAGGGCTGTGGGTCTATACATATGTTGTACATAATATGTTTAGGTGTATGTCATGTATGTGTTTCACTTTGAGAGCGGGCAACTAAATTTCATTTTTGAGGTGTGCCGTTGTGCCCACAGTAAAAAAATGACAATAAAGGTTATCTTATCTTATCTTATATCTTATCATCTTATCTTATCTTATCTTATCTACAGCATACCTTTGGGAGACTTTCAGAATGTTTGAGAATCTCAAGAAAACAGCGGTAGACTAGATCCCACAAAGTCTGCACGTCGGGATCAAATATAATAGATGGATCTTCCACGTCAAGTTTAAGGACCAATATTTGAGGAATGAAAAACTGCATGTCTTGATAAACTTCACCGAAATCATTGCCATCCTCAAGAGAAAGGAAAGAAATCATGAGATCATATGCAGGGAATAACCAGAAAGGATTGGTTTTCGGGATCTGGGGCCCTAGTGATCCCCTTTTGCGACTTTCTGACAAGCCAAGTCAATTGGGGAAGCCAGATTCACTTAACGACTGTGTGATTCGCTTAACAACCAGGGCAAGAAAAATGGGCAAAATTCACTTAACGAACGTCTCACTCAACAAGGGAAACTTGGGGCTCAGTTTGTGGTCACAAGGCGAGGTCTACCTGTACCCCACAGCCTACCTTATGTATCTTAAAAAAATCGAGGAGATCCTCTAGAGAATTGATGACCATCTCCCTCAGCTGCAAGGACATCAGGATGGCCACCGATGCGAAGTATTCCTCTATTTGCTGAGAAGAATCCAAGTCATTCTGCGGGGCCAGGTGCAACCACTTCTCTTTCTGCTCCACAAAGAGCTCTGCGCACCTGGGGATCCACCTGTAATGACAGGGAAAGTGTCACTTGCCCAGGTATTTTTTTTTTTGAGGGGGGCAACAGTTCAATGAGACGAATTGCAAAGGCCTTGGGATCATATAGCATAATATTGGCACTGCATAATCAAAGCCAAAAACCGAATTCCCCTCCTCCAATTAACAGTCCATTTAATCCTCCAGGGAAAGATTGAAGGCAAAAGAGGTCCAGGCAGAAGAAGAAGAACATCGTGGCTTCAAAATCTAAGGGACTGGTTTGGACAAAACTCAGCAGCACTTTTTCGTGCGGCTGCTGATAAAAACAGGATCGCCAACAGGATCACCAACGTCGGATAACGGATATGGCACAAGAAGAAGAAGAAGAATTAACAGTCATAAATCACATTCCCCAATTAGCTTGAAACGTGGGCTTCCTCTCCAGTTCTCCAGCCCGCCAATTCTTTATCAGCTCTGGGCTCAATAACCTTGATTCTCACGTTACGTTTAGTGTTGTTATGTCTAGCTGAACTCTCATTCACATCCTCCCCCTCCCAGCATCATCTAACTCTAAAAGCAAAAGGGAAAAAGCTGTTGTCAATGCAAAACATCCGATGTTAGCAGCGTTGACACATTGCGGCAAGTGAGTTGGTAAAGATTGGCAAGATTCACTTAACAAATGTTTCGCTTCACAAAAAGTTTGGGCTGCATTGTGGGCGTGAGTCCAGGACTGCCCGTTATTGGGGCACGGCTGGAATATTTCTAACCTGGTCTGAAGGATTTCGTGAGCTTCCTGGCACTGCCTTTGAATCAGCTCTTCAAATTCGCTTGGCAAGAGGGGCAAATCGCCCTGCAGGATCTCCTTGGTACGAACAAATCTCAGATCCGTAAACCTGGATGGGAGAGAGAGAGTCACACAACTGTGTCATTTAGAACTGTGCCGGGGAGTTTATGCTTCTTAGAATCAAAGCACTGAATTGCAGAAGAAAACTGAGTCAGCCTATTGCCCTCCCAACAATCTGGGTCTTCATTTTACCGACCTCGGAAGGACGGAAGGCTGAGTCAACCTTGACCCAGTCAGGATCGAACTGCAGGCAGCCGGCAGTCAGCAGAAGTAGCCAGCAGTCCTGCACTCTAACCACTGCGCCACCACGTCTCACGATCCCACGTGATGCTGCAATGGTCTTAAATACCTGCCCATTGCTTCCTGGATGAATTTTGATTACTTGACCATGGAGATGCTATGATGGTCGTAAGTGCGAGGACTGGTTGTCAGTCACATTATTCAGTGCTACTGCAACTTCCAAAACCAAACTGTTTATCGTTTAATTGTTTGGTGACCTTTGATTGCAGTTGTTACCTCAGAAGGTCGCAAAAGGGGATCCCGTGACCCCGGGACACTGTGACCGTCATAAATACGAGTCAGTGGCGAAGCCTCTGAATTTTGATCACGTGGGGATGCTGCAACGGCCGTGTGAAAAATGGTCCTACGTCACTTTTTTCAGTGCCGTTGTAACTTCGAAAATTCCCTAAACGACCGAACAACTTCGCCAAACAAATGGTTGAAAGTTGAGGACTACCACTAGTCGTGAGCTGAGGATCAGCTGAGATTGTAACAAGAGGACCTGCCTCGAAGCTTATTTAAGGAGAGCAAAAAAATATTGTGAAGCAGGAGGACTCACTCGGTAAACCAGAGTTGCTGCAGAGCGAACATCATAGGATTAACTGTGAAGAGATGGGTTTCGTTCCAGATTTTGGTTTCTTGGTAAATTTTGTGCCAAGGAACGGGAGCCCGGATGACTCGTTGGGGAAAAGGTTGAGGAACGTTGCGTATAAAGAGTCTTTTCTTCTCCTGTGGATCCATCAAGATGTAATCAACTAGCACAAAGAGAACAAGGTGTTGGAAGCAAACCAGAAAATAACGAAACACAATCCAATCTTTAGACAGCTATAGTCAAACGCACCAATAGGCACTAGGTGGCACTGTGCAAAACAACTAATAATAATAGTAAAGTTGGAAGGGACCTTGGAGGTCATCTAGTCCAACCCCCTGCTCAGGCAGGAAACCCTATACCATTTCGGACAAATGGCTGTCCAGTCTCTTCTTAAAAACTTCCAGTGTTGGAGCATTCACAGCTTCTGGAGGCAGGTTGTTCCACTGATTAATTGCTCTAACTGTCAGGAAGTTTCTCCTTAGTTCTAGGTTGCTTCTCTCCTTGCTTAGTTTCCACCCGTTGCTTCTTGTCCTGCCTTCAGGCGCCTTGGAAAATAGCTTGACTCCCTCTTCTTTGTGGCAGCCCCTGAGATATTGGAACGCTGCTATCATGTCCCCCCTCGTCCTTCTCTTCGTTAAACTAGACATATCCAATTCCAGCAACCATTCCTTATATGCTTTAGCCTCCAGTCCCCTAATCATCTTTGTTGCTCTTCTCTGTACTCTTTCTAGAGTCTCAACATCTTTTTTACAACTGGTTGTGTTCACCCAATTTTGCACACTTTCCTGACATGTTAAGGGTCGAAGCCAGAAAAATAGACAAAGCAATTCTAGAATATGACTTTGAAATGACCCCTGTGTCTTATTAATCTGAACAAATATTTAAGTCCAGTTGATTGTGTTAATTTAATAAAATACATACATATATACATACATATATACATACATATATACATACATAAAATACATACATATATACATATGTACATACATACATACGGTACATACATACATATGTACATACATATGTACATACATACATATGTACATACATATGTACATAAAATACATACATATATACATACATACATACGGTACATACATACAGTACATAAAAATATAAATAAACCAACCACTCTATCTTGCCACACATTCTGGCATTGCAGGAAGTCCTGCATTGACCCTGAAGAAGTATGTTGTATGAATCTAATCACTATGGTTAGAAACCATGATTTATAGCTTGGAAGGTTGGCCTGATTTCATTTACCCAGCATATTATTCAAGCTACTAAGGTTTAGCCAACTCAGCATTCAGCACCTCTGATTCACTCAGCTAAAATTTCAAGGTAAGATTTGAATTCCTGGGGTTCTGCTTGAAGGAAGCGATTGTCAAGAACTTTCACGATTTAATTTCTCTGTCCAAGGACACTTTCCTCCACTCACCGATGTTTTTCATGAGCCAAATCTGGTAGTCGCTTTGAATTTCTTCCATCAAGCTGTTCAATAACCCCTCCAGATCCGGGCTGGCGAGGAAAATACTTGGGATGTGAGTCAAAATATTGTTCAGCACGTTTTCATCCTGCAGCGCTAACATGTCTTTCCGAATGCCTTTATGGATGTAATAGCAGTATCTCTGCAAAAGACCCAAAAGGTATTTTCAAAAAAAAATTAAAAAAAATCAATCAGCAGCATTACAATCCTTGGGATCCTCCTACCTGCCAATTCAGACAACAAAATATCTATTAAATGTTGTACGATGGCCTTTCGCATTAGGAAAAAAAAGTGAACAAGTAGTCCTTGACTTGCAGTTGCAATGTATGGCTGTGAAAGTTGGACCATAAGAAAGGCTGAGCACCAAAGGATTGAGGCCTTTGAACTATGGTGCTGGAGAAGACTCCTGCGAGTCCCCTGGACTGCAAGGCGATCAGACCGGTCAGTCCTAGAGGAGATCAACCCTGACTGCTCTTTAGAAGGCCAGATCCTGAAGTTGAAACTCAAGCACTTTGGCCACCTAATGAGAAGGAAGGACTCCCTGGAGAAGAGCCTAATGCTGGGAAAGATGGAGGGCAAGAGAAGAAGAAGGGGATGACAGAGAAGGAGGTGGCTGGATGGAGTCACTGAAGCAGTAGGCGTGAGCTTCAATGGACTCCAGAAGATGGTAGAGGACAGGAAGGCCTGGAGGAACGTTGTCCATGGGGTCGCGATGGGTCGGACACGACTTTGTAACTAACAACAACAAAGTCCTTGATTTATGACCAGTCATTTAGTGACCAAAGTTACAATGGACCCCTCCCCAAAAGATACTTAAGACCTGGTTCCAAAGTTCCAATAGCTAGCTCCCACCACCACAATCACGTGACTGCATTTTGAGTGTTCGGCAACCTGTCATTTGCAGTGTCCCGTGATCAAAACTGCCCCCAGGCCCCCAGGTCCGCTTAATGACTCCCTCAAAAAAGACCCCCCCCCCAAAAAAAACTAATAAAACCAGTTGGTCATGTGATGATCTGCTTTATGACTATTCCAACTTGCAGCCCAAATGGGCAGAATCCATTCTGCAACATGATCCTGGGACAAATATATTTGTAATTGGCAGACTCCATTATGTTCGTAAGTCGAGGACCCCCTGTACTGCTGCTGTCCCAGTGTTGGAAAAAGTCAACTTCCCTAATTCCTTTTTATTGTGTATCTCAGATAAATGGGAGAATTTGCCTTAACCACGAGGCCAAACTGGCTCTCCCACGTGAAAACGACCTGGCAACGGAAAGCTGTGGAACCTTCCTGGTTCTGTATCATTTAAGTCTGCTAATCAAAGATGCCCGCTGCAAATTGGTTTAGCCACCTCCAGATCTTCCTCTGTGGGTGCCTGTTGTCCTTTGCTGATCTCCTCTTCGTGCTGGTGCATCACAACAAATTGCTGCTCTGGGGTCAGAGGCTGGCTGTCCGAGTAACGCGGGGCTCCCTCCTCCACCATTTGAACGTCCAACCTCAACAGATCCAGACTGCACACTTGGGATACAGTTTCGGCCCTGAAATGAACCACAATCAACAGGTGAGTCTGTCTGTGGAGATTCTCCATCAGCCAGGTCAGGGTTGTCCCAAAGATGCTTTTTTTTCCCCAAAAGGTAACTGGACTTTCTTGGGGGTTTTTTCCTCGAAAACATTTCGTTTCTCATCTAAGAAGCTTGAGTCAGAACTGAAGAAGCTTCTTGGATGAGAAGCGAAACAATTTCAAGGAAAGAAAATCCAAAACTAATAAGAGTAGAGTAGAGTAGAGTAGAGTAGAGTAGAGTAGAGTAGAGTAGAGTAGAGTAGAGTATAGAATGAGAAAGAATAGAATAGAATAGAATAGAATAGAATAGAATAGAATAGAATAGAATAGAAAATATGGAAAGGAATAGAATAGAATAGAATAGAATAGAATAGAATAGAATAGAATAGAATAGAATAGAATAGATGGAAGGGACCTTGGAGGTCATCTAGTCCAACCCCCTGCTCAGGCAGGAAACCCTATACCATTTCAGACAAATGAAAGTCCAGTTGTCTTTTGGAAAAACACTTTTGGGGCAACACTTAAGTCCTGAACCTGGCTAGCTAAAAAATCAACTCCCCCCTCCCAACAGAATTAGCCTGCCCCCCCCTTGTGCCGGCAGGAGTGGCTTGCTGCGGTTCCCATCAGCTGAGGAATTTTGGCTGGTGGGGTCCAGGAAAAGAAACTTTTTTGACCTTGCTCCCGCTCTCTGGAATCTCTTCCCCCCCACTCTCCCCAGGTCAGATCTGCTCCAAAGCCATGGCTGTGCCAACTAGCCTGCCCCCCCATGGGGATATGGCAGATGGAGGAGGGGGCACCCCACTTCCTCTCTGTGTGCACTGTGGTTCTCTCCCTCTCCATCCTGCTTAGTTTTATTTTAATGGGTTTTTTAAATTGACCGTTGGAACCTTTTAGTTTGCACTTTATTCAATGTCTGCAAGCTGCCTAGAATTGCCTTTGGTGAGATTAGCAATATACAAGTTTGATACACCATGTTTCCTGACTTAGCGTGTCGAGCAAAGACAGCCAACTGTGGTTTATTCCACAAACCATGATTAAATGAACTACATCTTAGAGCACACCCGTGAAGCCAAGCATTACGGTTTGTCAACTCTCTTTTAAGGCTGAGAATGCTGTGTGAACTTTGCAAAACATGGGCTTATTCAAGGCTGCCGTAACTTGTTCAACCGTACCTACTGAATAAGCATAAAGGCGGCAATACCTTTCATATTCTCCCTCGAGGTTTTTTACATACATTTTCATCTTCTTTTCGGAGGGCGCATACTCTTTAGCAGCTGGGAGATCCCATTAAAGAAAAGCCTCCACCAAAATAAGAGAGAGAGAGAAAAAAGAAAAAGAAAGAAAGCTAATCCAGATTAGACATTGATCTCTACGCCAGGGATCCCCAACCCCCGGTCTGTGGACCGGTACCGGGCCGCAGCATGCCAGCAACCTGTCCACACAAACAAACAAAGCCCCATCCACAGGATGCAGGCAACACACAAAACCACGACCCCTCCGGTCCATGGAAAAACCTCTCTCCACGGAACCGGTCCCTGGTGCCCCAAAGGTTGGGGATCTCTGCTCTATGCTGTTGAGCTGAGGAGGATACGTGGACATTCAGCTTTCTGTTTGGTGGACCCAGAAGCCTTTCTGATTCGGAGAGGGGAAGCCAGCTTCTGTAGATCTTTCATCTTCAAGTCACGTGCGGCCAAGGTGTAGTTGTTGGCGATGGAGTTGCTTGGCGTGCGGAAATGACACTGTTCCTTCAGGGGCACTGCCAGCATCCAAGATGCTCGTTGCATAAGCGTGGGGTAGTGGCTGCTCTCCTGGATCATCTAAACCCAGAACGAGGAGGAGAAAAGTAACGGGACATTCCATTAGAGAAGCTGATGGGGACAAAGGACAGGCAGGTAGTCCTCAACCTACGACCAAAACTGAGCCTCAAATTTCCATTGCTAAACAAGGCATCCCAAAGGTGCTTTTCCAAAAGGCAATTCTTGGGAGGTTTTTTTTTCTTCCTCTTGAAAATGTTTTGCTTCTCGTCCAAGAAGCTTCTTCAGTTCTGTAAAATCGGATGCAACTTAACAACCGCCTGGCTCGGCAACGGAAATTCTGGACCCAGTTACGGCTGTAACTCGAGGACTACATATAGAGTTGTCGTAGCTGAGAAAGCCATTAGACTGGCACAATTGTCATAGCCCGATTCTTTTCCTCTTAACGAATTCATGGTAACCTGGGAGAACCACGCCTTCCGAGGAAATTGTTTTCTGATTTAGGCAGGCAACTTATTTCCTGGCATAGACCGGGCAAAATATCCCAGGTGGAAGTGGAGGAACAGGTTCCATCACTGAGAAATGACCAGCAAACTCCTCGTAATGCTGCAATCGCCTCCTTCAAATGAAGCCGCCCACATAATTTTCCATAATTTAGAGGACTGCATGTCGGTTTGTTGTCTCCTCAAGCAAATAAACAGAGGCACTGTACAAACTTGAATCCGATCTCTTGCTAAGCCCCCCCAAACACAACGTGAAATTGTACAGGTAGTCCTCGACTTCACGACCAGAGAAAAGATCAAAAGTGAGAAATGCAACTCAACGTTACAGTCTGGATGGCATTAAGTTTAGGAAGCTGGTCAGTTTTGCTTTCGTTCCCTGCAAAACCCTTGAACAAAAAGTCACTCCATATTTCTAGCATCAGTCACCTGCCCAGGATGGAGGAAGCCCCAAACTAAACTAATTAATCTTTTTTCTTCCAGATTACTGCTTGCACCCAATGAGTACAGAGTTAATGCTCTTTTAGCGACTGCCTTGCTTAGCAACCATTTTCAGTTACGACAGTGATGAAATAAAAATAACTTTAAAACCAATCCTCCCATTTGTAACCTTTGCAGGGCTTGGAAGCAAAGGAAAGCTGATGTACAGATAGATCTCATTTACCAACTGCTTTGTTCAGCAACGGTCCAAAGTTACAACAGTCCTGACAAAGTATCTTTACAACCAATGCCTTCATTTGCAACTTAGCGGTGAGCATCGGTCATGGGATTGCCAATACAGTCAGAGCCTGTGGTCCTGTGTCTGACCAATTCTTTTTTTTTCCCTCTTGCAGAATGGGAAGATTGGAGAAGAAGGATTTACAAGAAAGTAAGCAGGCACGCAATGAAGAATACACTGGGCTGTTTGCCTGACATGCTCAGGGTTGCCAGTGCCACCGCATTATGTGTATTCCCTCTTGTGTGCTTGCTACTCTCTTGTAATCCCTTCTTCTCCAATCTTTCTACCCTGGAAGTGTGGGGAGGAAAAAAAAATGTCAGGCAGAGGTGAGATTGAGCAAAAAAAGAAAAAGCCAATCAATTCTGTAGGCAATCTCTCCAGTGCCTGACACTCTTTTTCTCCTTCCCTGCCAGCAGAGAGATTGGAGAGGAAAGGATTACAAGTGAATAAGCAGGCACACAATGGGAATCTATCAAGCTTTTTGTGCGGCGCGCTCACAGTTTTCTTTCGTGTATTCCCTGTTGTAAACCGGTTTATTTTCTTGTAATCCCTTCCTCTTCAATGAATGTAAATACACACATTAATTCCCTTCTGGATAATTATCCCAGCTCCCAGATGAGCACGGCAGAGGGGAAATAAACAAAAAGGGAAAGATTTGAAACTGATCAACCTTATCAGTTTTCACCCAGCTATCCCAGTGCCGCTGAGATGAATGGGGGAAAGGAAAGTGACAGTTGCTAAATTGCTTGATTTCCCACTTAGCAACCGCTTCAGTTAACAACAATTGCCGGTCCCAGTTGTGGTTGCTGAACAAGAACGACCTGTATTGTTCTCGAGCTGGTTTCCTATAATAACTATCTATCTATCTATATAAATAAAAATGTAAATGTTCATTTGTTCAAAATCTTAAATCTCCGAACGTTCTTCACCGATTGCTTTGAAATTTTGACACAAGGTTGCACTCGAATACGCGCGTGTTTTTATATACCTATATTATATAGATGTCACACCTGTGACAGGTAAAAACATGCTTTTTTTGAAAAACAGCGCCATCTGTTGGACGTAAAAGCAACACACGCTTTTACCAGACTGAGCCACAGCAACGCGTGGCCGGGTACAGCTAGTTTTCTAATAAGAATGCAAGGACTCACCTGATACAGCTGGGAGGGATCAGAGGCCGCCACTGAAGGCAAAGAGGGCAATTCAGGGATCTGCTTTGCATGGCTCATATTATAGATAGAATCAGTCTGTGTCTAAAAAATATGGGGGGGGGGAAAACTTCAAGAAAATGCAAAATGTGTCTAGATCATGACACTGCAGTGCTACAATCCTGTTTTTACCCCTGCCATCCTGCATTTAAATTGGTCTGGGGGGAAAAACCCCAAAACCCAAGTCTGGGCTTTTTTTAAAATTAAGAACCCATTTTTTTAGAAACCAATGGCCCAATCCTGGATCCAAGCCGCTTTTTCAATTGTGGAATTTAAAGATTTGTCAGATGGCTCCTAACTTTCTTAGGATTCTCTTCATGCAAATTTTTGAATGGATCAGCAGACCAACCCACCTCCCAGGGTTGTTGTAAAGAAAATAGAGGCAGGAATATTAGGTATTTGTGCCACCTTGAGTTATGTATACAAAAGATGGTATACAAAATATAATAATAATTACGAGGCTTTAGAATAAAATCAAGACGGGATGACCCCCATGGAGAATCCCAGACTTTTTACAGACTTTAGGGCCCCCTTGCTGCAAAATAAGCAATACTTAGTGCCATATTTAATGCTAAGAAATAACATTTTTTTTTGGTAGGACTTAGCATGTTTCTAAGTGCAATATTATGGTTTGTAAACAGAGGACGTTACTTTTTTCCCAATAAACCTCAGTTAAACCATGTCTTAGTGCAACTAAGGTAGGAGCTACTCTCTGGATATCCCAGGCAAAAGATCAGTGACTATTTTTCTCCATCCTGGTCCTTCCAGATGTGGTGATTAAGCTGGGAATCTTGCAAGCTTTTATCCAACACATCTGAAGATACCAGATTAAAAGAGGTTTGGTCCAGCATCTGCAATGTGACCACCCTATTATTTCTCTCCAAAAGTTCAACATTGTAGTATTACAATATCTTTATGCAGTTTCCAAATCCTTTTCCTTTAAAACATTGCAATTGCACACATATCTCAAACTAAGCCAATGTTTAACCATGGTTTGATTAAGAAGCTGAAACTCACTAGCTTTACTAAGCCTGTATCACAAATTAAGGGTTAAAAGCTACAATTGCTGTCATCATACAAGACAGGAAGCCTAAACCTCGGAAACAGGATTGCGTTTCTGGCACAATAAGCAAACCCAGACAATGTTTTCATAAGGATTATTCAGGCTTACCCTCAAAATTTGGGCAATCTCCTTTGGATTCATGTTGAATATTTCTTAGGATGTCCTCCTCTTCTTCCAAACTATCAATTAGATCAATGAACTTTCCAAAAATAAATCCTTATCGGGGCTTTAAACATCTAGAAGAATCACACCAGTTGACAGTCAAAACAACCCCCCCCTTATGCTACAATCCATTTTTATCACATTCCTTCATGAGGGCACCCACTGAATGTATTTTCAAACATCCCTCCCAAGTTAGGCTAGGTAGAAAGACACGTTATCTTATCTTTAGGAACTAGGAAGTGATCCACACTCATTCTGAAGAGGGAGGGAGGGAGGAGAAAGGAGAGGAAGAGAGAGACAGAGAGAGAGAGAAAGGAGGGAGGGAGGGAGAAAGGGAGAAGGAAGGAAGGAAGGAAGGAAGGAAGGAAGGAAGGAAGGAAGGAAAAGGAGAGGAGAGGAGAGGAGAGGAGGAGAAGGATGGATGGATGGAAGGAAGGAAGGGGAAAGGAAAGGGAAAGGAGAGGAGAGAGAAAGGAGGAGGGAGGGAGAGAAAAGAGAGGAAAGAGAAGAGAGGAAGGAAGGAAGGAGAAAGGAAAGGGAGAGGAGAGGAGAGGAGGAGGAGAGAGAGAAAGGAGGGAGGGAGGGAGGGAGAGAAAAGAGAGGAAGGAGAAGAGGGGAAGGAAGGACGGAAGGAAGGAAGGGGAAAGGGAAAGGAGAGGAGAGAAAGGAGGGAGGGAGGGAGAGAAGAGAGGAAGGAGAAGAGAGGAAGGAAGGAGAAAGGAAAGGGAGAGGAAGAGAGAAAGGGAGGGAGAGAAAAGAGAGGAAGAAGGAGAAGAGGGGAAGGAAGGACGGAAATGGAGAGGAGGAAGAAAGAGGGAGAGAAAGGAAGGAAGGAAAAGAGAAAGGAAGGAAAGAAGGAAGAGAAGGAGGGGAGAAAAAACAACAGAAGAAAAGAGAAAGAAAGAAAGAAAGAAAGAAAGAAAGAAAGAAAGAAAGAAAGAAAGAAAGAAAGAAAGAAAGAAAATCAAAGCAAAGCCGGGCACTTTCAAGGCCAACCAATGCCAGTTTCTTGTGCCTCTTCTCAACCTCAGCCAGGACCAGGAAGGGGCCCAGAGGACTCCCCGCCACTCCAGCTCCTGTCCCAGTCACCTGTTCCTGTCCGAGCCGGGGAGGCAGAGCTCAGAAAGAACTTCTGCTCTCCGACATTCTCTCCCCCTTCTCGCTCGCTCGGGGTAACCGAGGGGACCGCATTGCTGTCGCTAAGCAACCTGATTCCGCTCTTCCCACAACCCCCCCTCCCCACTCCGCCCAGTTGGCTGCCCTGCCACGCCATTCCTGCCAGCCTGGATCTTCACCAGCGGCTCCTGCGAAAGGCGGTTTGTTTAACAAGCAAACACTGTTCGGATATGGTAAGGTGGACGGGGCACGTCAGGTAGAACCAGGGGGGGTGACCTGGGCAGGGGAGGAGAGGGGGCAAAGAAATGGTATAAGGTTTCCTGCCTGAGCAGGGGGTTGGATTAGATGACCTCCAAGGTCCCTTCCAACTTTTTTTATTATTATTATTATTATTATTATTATTATTATTATTATTATTATTAAGATCTTCAAGGGAGGAAAAGCACATAGTACAGGGAGTCCTCAACTTACGGCCACCATTGAACTTATGTTGCTAAGTGAGAAATTTGTGAAGTGAGCTTTGCCTCACTTTACGACTTTTTTTGGCCACGTTTGTTAAGCGAGTCACTGCAGTTCTTAAACTAGTAACCCGGTCGTTAAGCGAATCTGACTTCCTCGTTGACTTTGCTTGCCAGAAGGTCACAAAAGGGAATCACGTGACCCCCGGGGACAATGCGACCGTCATAAATGTGAGTCAGTGGTCGAGCCTCCGAATGTAAAAAACATGACCATGGGGAGGCTGCAAGGGTCCTAAGTGGGAAAACGGTCATAAGTCACTCTTTTCAATGTCGTCGTAACTTCGAACGGTCGCTAAATGTACTGCAAATGAAATCGGGCAAAACTCCCTTAATAAGTTTCTCACCTAGCAATATAAATGTTGGGCTCAATTGTGGTTGTAAGTTGAGGACTACCTGGTCATCTGCCTATCTCACGTCCTTGGGAAGGATTTGAACAGGGAGACAATGACAGAGTTGGAAGGGACCTTGGAGGTCATCTAGTCCAACCCCTTGCTCGGGCAGGAAAACCCTATACCATTTCAGATAAATGGTTGTCCAATCTCTTCTTCAAAACCTTCCAGTGATGAAGCACCCACAGCTTCTGGAGGCAGGTTGTTCCAATGGTTAATTGTTCTGACTGTCAGGAAATTCCTTAGTTCTAGGTTGCTTCTCTCCTTGGTTAGTTTCCATCTGTTGCTTCTTGTTCTGCCTTCGGGCGCTTTGGAGAATAGCTTGACTCCCTCTTCTTTGGGGCAGCCCCTGAGATATTGGAAGACTGCTATTATGTCACCCATATAGAGCTGGAAGGGACCTTGGAGGTCTTCTAGTCCAAACCCCTCCTCAAGCAGGAAAACCCTAGAGTACCATTCCAGACAAATGGCTGTCCAGTCTCTTCTTAAAAACCTCCAGTGATGGAGCACCCACAACTTCTGGAGGCAAGTTGTTCCACTGGTTAATTGTTCTAACTGTCAAGAAGTTTCTCCTTCGCTCTAGGTTGCTTCTCTCTTTGGTTAGTTTCCATCCGTTGCTTCTTGTCCTGCCTTCAGGCGCTTTGGAGAATAGCTTGACTCCCTCTTCTTTGGGGCAGCCCCTGAGATACTGGAACACTGCTATCATGTCCCCCCTCGTCCTTCTCTTCACTAAACCAGACAGACCCAATTCCAGCAACCGTTCTTGATATGTTTTAGCCTCCAGTCTCCTGATCCTCTTTGTTGCTCTTCTCTGCACTCTTTCCAGAGTCTCCGCATCTTTTTTTACACCGTGGTGTCCAAAACTGGATGCCGTATTCCAAGTGTGGCCTTACCAAGGCCTTGTAAAGTGGTATTAACACTTCACGTGATCCCATCTTTTTTTAAAAAATCATATTTATAAACATTGGCACCAAGAGGCCGGGCAGCCTGCCAGGTGTGGTCCGGGCAGCCCGCAAGGCATGTCGACTCCCGCAGCCTGAGCAGCGCCAACCGCATCCGCCGCCATCCTCCTGCTGGCTCCGCCGCCTCGCTGCGCCCTGCAAGGGAGGAGCCGGGCCGCTTCCCGGAGAGGCCGAGGCGGCCGGCCTTGAGGCAAATCGAGCTAATTCGGGCCGATTGACGGGCGGACGAGGCGGCGGCGGCTCCCTCCTCAAGGGCCTCGCCGGCCCGGGAGCGCCCAACAGGGCCGAGCAGGCCGGGCCAGGCGAGGCGAGACGAGGCGGCGGAGGTAAGGCCGAAGGAGCGAGGCAGGCCCGGCCCGCTTCGTTGGCTTTCCCTGCGGGGAGGAGGAGAAGGAAGAGGCGCAGCGGCGCCTTCCGAGGCCGAGCAGCCGGCCGGCCGGCCGGCCTGCAGGCGGAGGTCCGGCAGGGGAGCGGCTTTCCCGCGGACCCTGCTCGGGCTTCCGGGGGGGGGGAGCAGGTTGACGTTCAACAGGGCAGTCGGCCGCCCCGGGGCCCCTCAGGGGCTGCTGAGGGTGGAGGGTCAGGCAGAGGTTCAACAGGACAGATTCTCTCCCCTCCCCCCCCAATTGCCCCTGCTGAGGCTGGAGGGTCAGGCAGAGGTTCAACAGGACAGATTCCCCATGCTGAGGGTGGAGGGTCAGGCAGAGGTTCAACAGGACAGATCTCTCCCCTCCCCTCCCAATTGCCCCTGCTGAGGCTGGAGGGTCAGGCAGAGGTCCAACAGGACAGATTCTCCCCCTTCCCCCCCCCACAATTGCCCCTGCTGAGGCTGGAGGGTCAGGCAGAGGTTCAACAGGACAGATTCCCCCATGCTGAGGGTGGAGGGTCAGGCAGATGTCCAACAGGNCCCCCCCCACAATTGCCCCTGCTGAGGCTGGAGGGTCAGGCAGAGGTTCAACAGGACAGATTCCCCTTTGCTGAGTCTGGAAGGTCAGGCAAAGGTCCAACAGGACAGATCTCTCCCCTCCCCCCCAATTGCCCCTGCTGAGGCTGGAGGGTCAGGCAGAGGTTCAACAGGACAGATTCCCCCATGCTGAGTCTGGAAGGTCAGGCAGAGGTCCAACAGGACAGATCTCTCCCCTCCCCCCAATTGCCCCTGCTGAGGCTGGAGGGTCAGGCAGAGGTTCAACAGGACAGATTCCCCCATGCTGAGGCTGGAGGGTCAGGCAGAGGTTCACCAGGTTCCCCTGTTGCATCTCAGGTTCTGTCCAGGCTGGAGGATTAGGCAGAGGTTCAACAGGACAGTGGTATCCCTCACACTGCCCTTCAGGTCCTGCTGAGGCTGAAGGAGCAGGCAGAGGTTCACTGGGAAATATTTTTTTCCCTCTTGCTGCTCCTCAGCTGCTGCTGAGACTGCAGTGTCAGGCAGAGTTTCAACAGGACAGTTCTTTTTTCTTCTTCTCATGTTCCCCCCCCCCCCAGCCCTGTTGAGGCTGGAGGATCAGGCAGAAGTTCCCCAGGACAATGCCTTTGCTCATTTGGTGCCCTGCTTTTGTCAGATTTTGAAGAACTGCTGGGTACTTTGGGGTGCAGTCTTGCAACTGGACAGTTATAGAAGACAGGCAGAAATTCAACAGGGCATCAGAGATTGGACTGTTTGGATATTTGTTTCTGGATAGCAAAGATAATCTGAACAATTCCTTCAGCATCTCAGGGATGTTTCAAAAAGTTATTTGTTTTTCTGCCACCTGCTTTATTTGTTTTTTTCCTTCCTCTAAGAATCTACATTGTGGAAACATTGTAAAGCTGTAGTAAACAGGCAGCCTTTGGAGTTTGCCAGTACAATTGCAAAGGTTCTACTAGGAATTGCAACTATGTGGAATCCGACTCCTGTAATAAGAGGACAAGGGGAAAAAAATGAAGTTGTTTCTAAATATATATATTTCGTAGCAAAATGGGGATCTTAAAGGTTATCGCCTAAGAATGTTTGAATACAGGCAGTCCTTGACTCACAGCCAACAATTTGAGTTCAACCTTTCGGTTGCTAAGCGAGACATTGACTTTGCTTGTCAGAAGGTCGCAAAATGGGATTGTGTGACCCCGGGGGAACATTGCAACCGTCATAAATATGAACCAGTTGTCATAAATATGAACCAGCCTCTGAATTTTGATCATGTGACCCCAGGGATGCTGCAATGGTCATAAGTATGAAAAACGGTCATGAGTCACTTTTTTCAGTGCCGTTGTAACTTCGAACGGTCACTACATAGACTGTTGTAAGTCGAGGACTACCTGAATAACCTTGTACTAAAAATAGGACTACCTATACTATAGACTACTTATTGCCTCCAGAAGTTGTGAATGCTCCAACACTGGAAGAGATTGGACAGCCATTTGTCTGAAATGGTATAGGGTTTCCTGCCTGAGTAGGGGGTTGGACTAGATGACCTCCAAGGTCTCTTCCAACTTTATCATCATCATCAATCATCATCATCATCATCATTATTATTATTATTATTATTACTCTACAGACTACAGTCTGCTTTACATTTGGGAATCTGAATAAGCACAGCAGACAAAATATTCCTTTTTTCATCCTCTTTCTAGGATTTAGGATTTGAAAACAAATTTCGGATTTGTTTTTAAGCTTGAAAGCGTCACCATGTCGAAAGAGGTGAAGGAACTCCAGAAACGGTGGCTGGCGATGATGGATACGGTACATAGCAACTCACATGTGAGTTACAGAGAACTTTTATCGCTGTCGAAGTGGCATTTTCCTTCTGTTTAGGGAAAGACCAGCTAAAACTAAAAGTCGGTATAAATAAAAATTGGATGGGAAGGAGAATTAATCCTCTCTTACACGCCTTGTTTCTTGTCTCAAAGCCATCGTTGCATAATAACTGGGCTAAAGCTTGCCAAGCTGTTTTGTGGGAATCCAACCCAACCAGTAGGGTTAGGGTTACGATCGTGCAAAATCAGCCAATTGGGTTCATGCAACAGATGATGTTTAAATCATGCGCGAACACAGCTTTGCAAAGATATTGGGGGGGAAATGGCAAAAAAATGTTTGGATATAACTGTGACTGTGAGAGGGACCTTGGAGTCTTAGTGGACGATCACTTAACCATGAGCCAGCAGTGTGCAGAAGCAGCCAAAAAAGCTAATGCAATCCTGGGTTGTATAAACAAAGATCACGCGAGGTATTAGTGCCACTTTATAAAACCCTATTAAGACCACACCTGGAATACTGCAGCCTATTTTAGTCACCATATCACAAAAAAGAGGTTGAGAGTTTGGAAAAAATTCAGAGAAGAGCAACTAAGATGATCAAAGGCCTGGAGACTAAAATATACGAAGAACGGCTGTGGGACTTGGGTTTGGCTAGTCTAAAAAAAAGAAGAAGATAGCAGTCTTCCAATATCTGAGAGGCTGCCACAAGGAAGAGGGGGTCACTTTGTTCACCAGAGCACCAGAGGGCAGGACAAGAAACAATAGTTGGAAACTGATCAAAGAGAGAAGCAACCTGGAATTAAGGAGAAACTTCCTGACAGTGAGGACAATTAACCAGTGGAACAGCTTGCCTCCAGAATTCTTGGGCGCTCCATCACTGGAAATTTTTAAGAAGAGATTGGACAGTCACTTGTCTGAGATAGTATAGGTTCTCCTGCTTGAGCAGGGGGCTGGACTAGAAGACCTCCAAGGTCCCTTCCAGCTCCATTCTATTCTAAGAGACCTGTATGAGACTCGCCTTAATTCAATATGATTTCCTCTTGTAAGAGCTTCACTTCCCAGAATAAATTCCCCAAATCTTTTAAAAACATTTTTCTTTTTCCCTTTATTTCCCAGGTGGTTTCTTTTATGAACTCCAGAGTTGGCCAGTACTTAGATGATCACCCTTTCGTTACCCTCTCCCTGATGGTGTTTATCGCAGCCTCAGCTGTTCCGATTGCGTTTTTTCTGGTATTTGTCGTCACTACCACAGTCCTGGCGTGCATCGGAGTGATCGTCATGGAAGGTAATTCATGTCTTTGGGGGAAAGGGTTGGGATGGCGCCTCCATGCCTCTCCAGAGACAGCTTTCAGTGTGATCCTTCAAGACAATAAATAAACGGGCTTGAAGTTTAATGGCAGAAGGCCTGTTCCCTTGGCAACAGTGCAGAAGTAATTCCTCATTGCCTCCTTACAGGATTTTATTCACTCTCCTACTCTAGTCTACTATCTAAGATGTTTTAGAGGCCTCCCGAGTAAGAACTAACCAGGCCTAACTCTGCTGAGCTGTCCTAGACCAGCCATAAATTTGCTGGGTGCTGCCATCTATTGACAATCTTCTATATAAATAAAAATGTAAATGTTCGTTTGTTCAAAATCTTAAATCTCCAAAAGTTCTTCACCGATTGTTTTGAAATTTTGACACAACGTCGCATTCGAATATGCGCGTGTTTTTATATACTTACTATTATATAGATGTCACACCTGTGATAGGTAAAAACATGATTTTTTTGAAAAACAGCGCCATCTGTTGGACGTAAAAACAACACACGTTTTTACCAGACTGAGCCACAGCAACGCGTGGCCGGGTACAGCTAGTAATGCAATAAAAACAAGATTCCTAGAGAAGCCCTAAGAAGGCTCATGACATCTCCTCCTTGCTAGGTTTCGTAATATCCTTGGGTGGCGTCACCTTGCTTTGCATTCTTGGTGGATTGGGCATGCTGTCGCTGCTGGTTTCCGGAATGCTGAGTGTCTGTTACCTGTCTCTTACAACCCTGCTCAGCTACTGGCCCATTCGAGAGTAAGTACCCCAGGCCTGATAATAAATTATATTCCGTATATTGTTCCAGAGCAGCCACAAACCGTCGGACAGTGTAGGAGAAGAGCAGGCAGAGCTTGGGGGGGTGGAGTCAAGAGAGGACGTAGCTTAGAATCGTTACGTGTTCATGCTCCAAGTCCAGCCCCTCCCCTTGAATTCTATTAATTCTTACCTAGCAACAATTCAGTGCTTTATCGTTAGTGGGCTGGATTCTCCGTACGCTTGAGCAATAAATCTCCTGAACTGGAACTTCCAGTATGTCTGATCCTGATTCTTCACCCCTGACAGACTAGCCCACATTGGCTGCCTTGACATGCCCTTGACATACCTTCCAGACAGGAGTTGTGCCAATGTTTTGCAGGAAATTTCATTCCAACAGATCCTGCATTGTGCTGAACTATAGTTTGCTTTAACTGTAGGTTGTGAACAAGCGGTAACGAACGGCCTAGCCTAGCTTGTACCAAAAGCTATGTTTTGAACCGTGGTTCACAAGCCTCGGGAACTAGCTTCACTCTTAAACCCTGTTTCGGTTCTTCTTGACTTTGTATAGTTCATAGACCAGGTTTTATAATAAATCTTTCTTGCGCTTCCCACCACATTTGACTCATTGTGACAAATCATGGTTACCCAAGCCGGTTTGGCACCATTTCTTGCCCCAATCGCTGGCTTAGCAGTATAAATTCAAGGAAAAATAAAGAGCACTTTCTGATTCACTTATTCCCCTCCAGGCTATATCCAGTCCCTGAGCTTGTCATCATTTCAGTGCCTAGCAGAGCCCACTTCTACAAGATTGTGAAGTGTCACAATCGGTATTTTTATAGCCTATTTTTGTCCTTCTCTAGGCTATTTCCACTTTAAACTATAATTGCAGCACGGACTGCATTCTCCTCGCAAACCAACTTCGGTTCCTATTTGCGGCCATTCACATCCCACACTTATCCCCAAGCTCAAAAAATTATAATTAGCTGGCGGTCCAAACCCCAATATCTGTGATCAATTTATATTTTGCAGGATTTTATCTGTGCATTCCCCTTCATTGAATGCACCCTGCATTGGCACGGCAGGCAAACTCAGGCCTTGCCCCGCAGAGGTACAGTTTTGGCTGGAACCAACCATCGGCCTAAACAACAAAATGCCGACGGATGCTAAACAAAATAACACAACCTCCCAACTCATCTATTTTTAAAATTCAGGGCCTTCCATTCTCCTTTTGAAATGGCTCTTGAAACCAGGTCACGTAGTCACGAATATTCTGAAAATTGGGAACCAGAGCCCTGTTAGCTAATGAGATGTCATCCCTGAAAGCTGCAATCTTGATCGCTTTTTGTGTTTGTGTGTGTGTGTGTGTCTCTCTCTCTCTCTCTCTCAGAGGCCCGTCCAAGGAAGAGAATGCCAACGGAAGCAGTTCTGTCTCCAATCTCATTATTGACTAGGAAGCAGAAACTTCTCACAAGGGGTGAATAAATTGGATAGCGGCTCAAAATGTCTCCGACAGTGGCACTTTAACAAAAAAAAGAAAATGTAGCTGGAAAAAAAACACATCCTTGTTACAGTATTCTGTAGAATTGTTTACCCACCGAGAGGACCGGGGTTCAGCTCCTTATTAACAGGGAATTAAGAGACTGATTTCTCCAGAGCCGGACGCTAAGATAGCCGAGCCCTCGCTCCCAATTATTTTGAAAACCACCTCAGCAGCTTTTAGGCAGAGTTTTCACGCACGGTTGCTCCTGGAGTTTCAGGAACCCAACGACAGTGTTGATTTTAACGTGGGAAACGGAGCAGGGGAATCTATGCCCGACTACATTGCGGGCGACAGCAAATGGAACCGAAATACGGGCCATGGCGAAGACCCCAAATTAAAGCCGGTGCATCTCTTTACGATTGTCTTTCGGGTGGGGCAGGTCAAGCGTTTTTGATTTCTTTGTTTCTAGGGGGGATTGTGTTCTGCCTTTTGTTTGTTGCATTTAGCAACTTTGCAGAAAGCTGGATGGTTAAGCACAGTGGTTTTCCTTATGCCAAATATCGGTCACTCTAAGCCTAGTTTGAATATTTTCTTTTTTTTAAAAAAAAAAAAAGTTTTTTCTTCTGCTTGGTTGCTTAAAGCTGTCATCAGATATACTTTTTGCCACTAAACTGTTACTTTTCATCCAGGCTGTCTCTGTCCCATTTCTCAGCTTGCACCAACGTTGTGAATGTGTGAAGGGCCAGCACATCACTTTTAGCCCTCGAGATATACACACACACACATATATATATATACACACACATAATATATACACACACATACACACACATATATATACACACCCACATATATATACACATAAACACACACACACATATATATAAAGGTGTATATATACATTGTAATCAAACTGAAATGGAAGCGAACTGAAATTCCATTCCATTTTTTAACCTCTACTTGATAGCTTTTTGGAATATGTTTTTGTCACAACAAAAATCAGATGCAGTTCTTGGGCCTGAAAAGGTGTATATGTGTGTGTGTGTATGTGTGTGTACACACACCTTTTTCAGGCCCAAGAGCTGCATGCGACAAAAGCATATTCCAAAAAGCTATCAAGTGGAGAAGGTCAAACATTAAATGGAATTTCAGTTCAGTTCCATTTCAGTTTTGATTACAATTAAACGCAGGCTGGATTGATTACAGCACAGGTACTTCCTTAATCATTTTTTCTCTTTGGTTAGATTAAAAACTAAGGTAACTTTCAGAGGTCCTAAATTTCTGGCCCGGAGTGTTTGTTACGGGTGTGTGATCCAGAGCCTCAAATGGTGAATCTTGGGGCTTGAACTTAGCTAAATGCAGATTGTTCAGCAAATGGAGACAAAAATTATAAAGGGGGACATGCCGTCGTCTAGCGTTACTTTTGTACCCCCCTAAATGTAGAGCTAGGTCTTAGGGATTCTTCCCTCTGTGTTTTGGATTCTGGATACACAAGCTGGATATCTGGGTAAGAATCTGTCCAAATACGCTCACCAAAGACCAAGCTTAAGATGACATTGGCAAAATTTTTCCCACCCTACATCAAAAAATATACTGGTAGAACTCAACCTAGGATCACAGTTGAATTCTGGGAGTTGATGCCTACTCCTCTTAGAGTTGCGAGGTGGAGAAACACTGGTATAGGGTGAGGTTAGGAGGGAGAGAAAGGAAATGGATGAGAAAATAAATTAGGATTGCACTGTTGTTGTTTTTTAAAATTGTTTTATAATAGAAAATAAAGTACGAAACAGTAAAACAAAACGAAACAAAACAAAAACATGCATTCAATCCTAACAACAACCAAAAAGAAAAAAATAGCGTACAAAAAAGGAGGAAAAAGTGGTCAATTAAATTTAACATGTAGGATCCACCCTGGCTGGGTGCTGTAAAAAAAAACAACAATAAATTTCCCCCCCCTTTTACAAATATATATATAAAAGAAGAAAAAGCAGTCAACAGTGAACATTACACTATTCAAATCCCCGTTAACCATCTGTTATTATATTTAGCATGTAGAAAGTCCACAAACGGTTTCCAGTCTCTTATTTAGCTATCTAGTCCATTATCTCTGATCAAAGCAGTTAATTTCCCTATCTCTGCTAATTCAACTTCATTCCCTTTTTCTTCTCAGTGTTTGTCAAGTACTATCCTCGCTACCGTCACCATGTGAAGGCATAACCCCAACCCCCCAATTTTTTTTTCAATTGACTTGTCCATCATACCTAAAAGATTCTGGCTTCATTAATATTTGTATCTTAAAATATTTTTTTGCATTGTCATTGTTATATTTGTCCAGTATATTTTCACATCTTTGCAAGAGCACCGCCGGTGATAAAATGAAGCTGGATTTTGACCACGGGATTACCCTGTTCAATTTGGCCTCTAGCCCTGCTGAGCGAGGTCTGTAACCCACTTCTTGCCCATAGGAGACCCTGGATGAATCACATTCCAGGAATGCCAACTCCAGGAGAAAAAACAGCCAGTCTTTAGTACACAGAACTGACAAAGCCACACAGCGATGTCGTTTGTGCTCCGTGTATCTTCTGAACACAATTGCTGTGGCTCGTGAGCAGCATTGGATGAACTCGGCCCCATAGGAAAAAGCTTTCTTAAACTCCCTTACTTGATTCCCATTAGCTGGAAGACTCACCAATTGGACACACCATCACACAGCAAAGAGGAGGAAAGACCCTGGGAGGAGGGGGGGGGCTTTCCAACCTCTTTTTGCCCAGTTCTCTCCCCCTTCCACACACACACACACACAGATTTGCACAATACCCTCTAGTAAAATGTGCCTGGCGAATTTCCAGCCGAGTTGTTTTGCTGGCTTAATTCAACCCACCCACTCCTGGGGATAACTCATTAAACCAGGTTTGGCTCTGGTTCATGCCTGCAGCCCCCCCCCCCGACTCCCCCAGCTGTACGGCAAGCATGTTGTGGTCTTAAACCCCACAGCTCCCGTCCTTATTTCCAAGCTAGGCAGCAAAGTCCTCCCCCAAAAATGCACGGAGATGGTCTGGCATTGGCGTGTGCAGAAGGCGGTATAGGAAAGCAAGCAAAGTCAAGAGAAGCGAGTAGGGCTCTCTCTCTGTGTGTGTGTGTGTGTGTTCTTTCCTGCAGCAGGCAAAACTGCTCATCTCGAATCAGAAAATGTGGAAGGCATGAGAGAGCGCATCTCCTGGGGAATCCATCTCCACATGATCCCACCTCACCGTCTTCTCCCCACCAGCCGGGGGATCTAATTTGCTTTCCAACGCTCCCTCCAAGAATGGATTTCCAAGCCAACCAGACTTCCAACGATTCCGCTCTAAACATTTCAGAGCTGGGACAAGACTTCCCTCCCGACGACAACGGTAAGCTGAAGCAGAAGAATGCAGGGAAATGAGGAATGAGAGAGAGAAAGAGACGGATGGGGTTGATCCCAAACTTTCTCTGATCTTTAAACCTGGAGGGAGACGATGAAGGGAGAGAAGACGAAGGCAGAAACTAGCCAAGAAATATTTGAATTAGCCAGTTAGGGAAATTGTGCGTTTTGGTGTTTCAGTTGGAACCGGTGACCCCCTTTGGCTGCGCTGATTTTGTTCGTTTTCACGTCGTTAAAATGCCCGAGATGATGTGGCTCTGTGTGTTTGTGTATTCAAGGCAAAATTAGGGGATGAAAGATTTCAGCTATCCAGCTAAGGTAATTTTTGGCGTTTCCCTTTGTTGACTAAATCACCATCGGTGAGATTTGCACCTTAGGCTTAGGCGAACTCTGGTTGATTTGGTTTTTGTTTAATCTGCTTTTCAAAACCAGCCAGCCAAGAGAATACTTGGGTGTCTTTGTAATGTGGAGGATCAGACACCCCTGTAGCTGTTGCAGAATGATTCTGCTTGGCACTTTGATCTGGATGGTTGGGGCAATTGAATTCAAGACGATCTCTCTAAGCATCAAAGGAAGTCAACCCAAGGGAGCGGGCTGTTCAAAGCAGATGGAAAAGAGTTTCTGGGCATGCACAGAAAGCTCTTTTAGACCAAAAGGCGGCAGCTATGGAGTCGGGGGCTTTAAAGGACGCTTGGATTTAAGCACCTTGAAATCAATGGGACTCTTCAGAGCCCCAAAATAGTGTAGAATACAGGGGTGGGCAACGATGACTCCCTTCACAACCTGTGGACTTCAACTCCCAGAATTCCTTGAGCTAACAATTAGAAAACGCTGTGCATGTCTTGCTCATAATTCCTTGTACTTTATACTCTTCTTGTAAGGATTAGTATAGAAATCAGCTAATACAACTGTAAGGCAGTGTTTTTCCACCTTAGCTAGCTGGGGAATTCTGGAAGTTGAAGACCACACCTCTTAAAAGTTGCCAAGGTTGAAAAACACTGGTGGAAAGCTTCATCTTTATCCAAGCCTTCTTGAGCAAGACATGGCACTTCAAGGACCCTTTCTCCCCCTCTCTTTCTTCCTAGGTGACCTCAGCTCCATGAGTTATTCCACCATTATCATGTCCGTCCTCTTTGGTATCATCTGTCTGGTGGGCATTGTTGGCAACAGCCTGGTGATCTGCGCCGTCTTGAAGAAATCCAGCCCCAGCAGCAGCGTACCGGATATCTTCATTGTCAACCTTTCCTTGGTGGACCTCCTGTTCCTTCTGGGGATGCCCTTCCTCATCCACCAGCTGTTGGGCCAAGGAAGCTGGAAATTTGGAGGAACCATGTGCACCATCATCACCGCCTTGGATGCCAACAGCCAGTTCACCAGCACTTACATCCTCACCGCCATGTCCATTGACCGCTACCTGGCTACTGTCTATCCTTTCTCCTCCACCCGTTTCAGGAAGCCCCCGGTGGCCGTCACGGCCATCTGTATGCTCTGGGCCCTCTCCTTTCTCAGCATCACTCCCGTCTGGATGTACGCCCAGTTGATTCCTCTACCCGGAGAGCTTTTGGGGTGCGGGATACGTCTGCCAGACCCTCAGTGGGACATCTATTGGTATACCCTCTACCAGTTCTTCCTTGCTTTCGCCATCCCTTTTGCGGTCATCACGGTGGCCTACCAGAGAATCCTCCTAAAGATGGCCAGGTCTTCTGAAGCCCTCACCAGGCAAAGAGGCACCCAGCTGCGGATCAAAAGGGTGACACGGATCGCCATTGCCATCTGCTTGGCCTTCTTCCTGTGCTGGGCTCCCTTCCATGTCCTACAGCTTGTCCAATTAGCCGTCCAACCCACTTTACCCTTCTACTATGCCTACAATGTGGCCATCAGCCTGGGTTATGCCAACAGCTGCCTTAACCCTTTCATCTACATCTTGCTGGGGCAGAACTTCCGCCGGAGGATCACGGTCTCTGACCAGCCAGCAGATGTGGAAGGACTCTTCCAACATCAGGTCAAAAGCGCCCCAGCAGACCCCAGTGAATCTGGGCAGCCTTTGCTACATTTGGTCTCTGTCTTGGCCAGATAAGAGATGACAAATGGATTTATTTGGGTGAATTAACTCTAGGGATATGTGTCCATCCACCCCATTTTTGAGAACTTTTGGGACTTTTGTAAAAATGATCTTTTCTGCTTTGGACCATTATGGCGTAACCTGCAGGAGCAGGGTCCTTAAATAAATCACTCTTTTGATAACCTGGCAGCTTTAAGAGGTATGGACTTTAAGTATGCCGGCTGGGGAATTCTGGGAGTTGAAGTCCACACGTCATACAGTGACTGTGGCCAAATTTGGAAAAAAAATACTAAAATAAACAAATCAAAAGGCAGCTGAAGGCATCATGGACATTGTGTGCTTTTTTTTTTTTTTGGTATTGAGATTCTCCAAATACACCAAACTGATCGATCAAGAAACATTTTAAATGACATCCATTCCCTCATTGTTGGAAGTGGGACTGAAATCATTTTGGGACGAGTCCCATGAAAACATTCAACAGCAATTTTGCTTGATATTCTCATTTCAATTCAGTCTAACACCGTCTAATAGTGTATTTCCGGGCATGCCTATGCTGATTAAATTACAAATACAATATAGTTCTACCTTGTGTTTTGGTTTAATTTTGCCTGGAAATTTGACCTTATGTGTTTGTGAACTGTATTGTACAGTCCAAAACCTTGAATAAAGAGAATCTAACTTCCTTTTAGAGAAATTGATTGCCGTGTGAACAAAACAGCCCTATTTTAACCCTCCTTCTTCAAACTTGGGGTCTTCAAACTTGGCCCTTTTATGACTTGTGGACTTCAACTCCCAGAATTCCTCAGCCAGCGTGCCTGGCTGAGGAATTCTGGGAGTTGAAGTCCACAAGTCATAAAAGGGCCAAGTTTGAAGACCCCTGTTCTAGACAGACCCTTTGAAGGGAGCTAGATTCACTTAACAAGCGCAAAGTCATTTAAATACTGTAATAAAAATGGTTGGATCCAATTTCTATTGGTTTAGATTTGACCCAAAATCACTTTTGCTGGAAATTGATCCAGTAAATCTACTGTGGGATCCTTAGTGCCCTTTGAGCTTGGTGGTTTTCTTGCAGACATTACCAAGCTAGATAACATCATAGCACTGATGATGTTACCTAGTTTGGTGATGAAATGTCTGCAAGAAAATCACCAAGCTCAGAGAGCACCAAGGACCCCACAGTCCTCTTCCTCCTCCTCCTCCTCCTCCTCCCCTTCCTCCTCCCCCTCCTCCATTTCACTCCCTTCTAGCACTGATGATGTTACCTAGTTTGGTAATGAAACGTCTGCAAGAAAACCACCAAGCTCAGAGAGCACCAAGGACTCCACAGTTCAACCCCGATACACAAATATTCTGTTTTATTAGTAAATCTCTAAACAGGGGGAATAGGAGCTAGGGAAAACTAGGACGATCCAAGAATTTGCACATGCCACGAACCGGGTCTACCTCGCAAAGAATGCGACAGAGGCTGCATTCCAGACAGCAGAGATGAAAAGACAAGATGGAAATCCATAGAAAAGCGGGATCATTTCGCATTTTAGATACGTGGCACCGGTGGCAATGATCCGGCCCCTAAGAGTACACGCGTGCATTCCTGATGAAAATGTCACTTAAAAAATCATGCTGTCTGTAAAGGAAGAATTCCTGCTTGCTGTGTGAGACAACAGGAGTGCTGAGAAGCAATTGAGCCACGAGAATTATGCAGAAGCACAAAGCTTGAAGTGCTGGAAAATTCCCCCCGAGACGTAAGATCATTCAAAACCCTCACCAAAAGCTCCAGCAAAGCTTTGCGTCCCGCTTCGGCCCCAAATCAAATAGTTGATTTTTTGCAATCGTCGGAGGGGAAACTCAACCCTTTGAAGAAGCTATTTAAGAGTGATTGTTAAGTAGGAATTTTATCTTAGAGAATTAAGAGCGTAGCAAGAGAATTGTACTCCAAAAGAAGAGAAAGAAGCACAGCGTGCAATCCACCAAATTTTGAAAGCCTGGTCGGTCTGGTTCTTACCCACTGCGAACCCAGGTTTCTTTCCTTCCTGGTTAGGAAGCCATAAATGGATGGGTTCACACAGCATAAAAAGTTGCCAGCAAGCCATCACGTTATGGCTTAGTTGTGAAATAATAATTTCACCCACACATCCTGGTAATTGAGGGATCTTTTTTATTCAGTTGATCAAGCCAGATCCTTTCCGCCTTCGGAACAACAAAACCAGGATCGCAAAAACCATAAGCAAAAAGACAAACGCCGTTATCAAAGAAATGGTAATCCACATCTCGACGCTCAACTCCTGCTGGCCTAAGGGAAGGATACCAAAAAGAAAAGAAAAAAAAAAGAGGTGAGAAGATAAATCGCTTGACTTCTAGATATCACGGCAAAGGGACCTGTGAATAACAGAACAACAGACTTGGAAGGGACCTGAGAGGTCATCTAGTCCAACCCCCTGCCCAGGCAGGAGACCCTGTACCATTCCATAAAAATGGCTGTGCGGTCTTAAAAGCCTCCAGTGACGGAATTCATCTCATTCACCCTTCTCTGCTTTTTGACTTTCGACAGGGCGCTTGTGCCCACCGCTGTATTTGCATAACTCGGCTCCGAGGGCACCCGAACCCCTAACAGACTCTTCCCACGATTGCTACAATAATTAAGTACCTACCTTGGATCTTAAATTGCTCCTCCGGTACCAAAATGACAGCGTGCGGAAGAGTCACCACTGCAGTCTTTTCCGTTGCTTCTTCTGCAGGCAGAAAATTATGTTTTGTTGCCTTATTTATTTATTATTTATTTATTACTTTAATTTATACCCCGCCCTTCTCCTGAGGGACTCAGGGCGGCTTACAGGTAAATAAAAACAGAGCTATACAATAAATATTTAAAAGCCAAATTAAAATATATATTAATTAACCTGTATTAGAAAAATTATAAAATCCCTTTAAAATCCCTATAAAATTCCCCCCTAGGCCAATCCCGCTTGATGGAAAAGCCATGTCTTGAGAGCACGGCGGAAGGAGGGGAGATCCGGAATAATCCGGATCTCTGGGGGGAGTTCGTTCCACAGCCTTAGACTACTTACCCCCCACCCTCCAAAATCACCTTTTAGTATGATGGGACTTCATCTCCCAGAATTCTTAGGGATTCTGGGATTTGGCATCTATCTATCTCTCTCCGTCTCTCCGTTTGTTCGTCTCTCTATCTCTCCA